GTTTTATTTATGTGTCTCTCTGTGTGTACCATGTGAACCGTGTGTGTGCAGGCGCCTGTGGAGGTCAGGAAGGGTCTTGGGGCCCCTGGCGCTGGGAACTGGCCATGTGTGGGAACAGCCCGGGCTGACCTGTCCATCTCTCCAGCCCCGGCGAGTTTATTCCCTTCTACAACAGAGAGTTGGCCTGGCCAGAGGCTCCAGTGGAGCCGTGTGTAGAAGTGGTGATATACATCCTGTCCTACCCTGTCCCTGCTGTCTGGGAAACCCTGTAGTTAGGCGCTGCATGATGGGTGAAATGAGGTTGAAAAAGCAACCGTTTTAATCAAGAATTTGCCATATTTTGGTAAGCGTCTTTTCTTGCATATATTCTTTTTAAAACTTTGACCTGTCGGTCTGTTATGATATATGAATTTTCCCCCACACACTGGCCCATCCTTACTATCTTAGAATAAATCTCGTTTGTCCATGAGCTTTATGATCTTTTTACTTTGTTGCTGGACTTAATTTTTTTTAAATCCATTTTTATTTGTGTCGATGTTTTGTTTGCCTGCATGTCTGTATCACGTGCGTGTCTGTATCACATGCATGTCTGTGTCATATGCGTGTCTGTATCGTTTGTGTCTATAACACGTGTGTGTCTGTATCACATGCATGTCTGTGTCACATGCATGTCTGTGTCACATGCATGTCTGTGTCACATGCATGTCTGTGTCACATACATGTCTGTATCATGTGTGTTTGTATCACATGCATGTCTATCATGTGCATGTCTGTATCATATGCATGTCTGTGTCACATACATGTCTGTATCACATGCATATCTGTGTCACGTGCATGTCTGTATCATGTGTGTGTCTGTATCACATGCATGTCTATAACACATGTGTGTCTGTGTCACATGCATGTCTGTGTCACATGCATGTCTGTGTCATATGCATGTCTGTATCACATTTGTGTCTGTCACATGCATGTCTGTATCACATTTGTGTCTGTATCACATGCGTGTCTATCACGTGTGTCTGTATCACGTGCATGTCTGTATCACGTGTGTGTCTGTGTCATGCATGTCTGTGTCATGTGCATGTCTGTATCACGTGTGTGTCTATGTTACATGCATGTTTGAAGTGCACAGAGTTCCCGGGCTGGAGTCATAGAAAGGTGGTTGTGAACTCCCAAGTAGGTGTTGGGAGTTCAACCTGGCTGCACCAGAAGATCACCGCAACCATTGCACCCTTTTCCAGTCCCATAGTTGACTAATTTTTGAAAAGAATTTTTTTACACCTACATTCATGATGGACTTTAGTCCATACATTTTCCCAGAAAGATATTATGTTTGGTTTGTCTTTGATATCATAATTCTGGCTGTATAGAACGAGTGAGGAAGTATTTAGTTATTGTATTCCTAGGAGAATTTAAGATGGATGTTTTAAATTCACTTTCAGCCTGGTCTCCCTGAAGTCAGTCCTTGCGGTAATCAAAGGTCATGTGTCCTGTGTCATCAGTAGGTAGCAGGTGTGACAGACCCTGCAAGGAGCAGAAGGCTCTGGGTGTTAGATTTTATTTCTGGCCTTTTTGAAGGCCGTTTTTATGACAGTTTGGAGTTCCTCCCATGAACTACAAGCTAGTAGTCCCAGTGAGGGAGACAGGGCATGCGCTGCCTCCCGTGAAGCCCTCTGCTCTCGCCTGCTGATGTGTGTTTCCTTCAGCTGTGGTCCAGTCCAGTCCCAGGGTTCCCTTCTGTTTCTGTAAGTTCTACTCTTTTTAATAGCCTCCGACAGGCGTCTCTGGGTTCCTTAACTTTTGTTCTGTTTCCTTTTTTTTCAGTGTTGAGTCTTGAACTCTGGGCTTCCCATGTACTAGGTGTGTTTCGCCACTGAGGCCCCCCCCCCCCCAGCTGTCTGTTAGCTCTTTGCCCATGGTTTCCTCTAGCTCTTTGAGTATACTTGTTGTTGATCTGTTGTGTTTGTCTTAGGCTTCTTTGTGGGTAGTTTCCAATGACTCTCGTTGATGGGCCTTCTTGTTCTGTGTCTCACTTACATACACATTAATTTATCACATACCTTATATTTATTTGATTGTATGTTACATTTAAAGTTGTCAGTGTGAGTATTCCAGTGTGACAGTTTTGAGGATTTGATTTTCTCCCCTTATATTATCGATGCTTGTGCTTGCCAATTGTTTCATGCTGGTGTAGTCCTTGAAGTCTCTGCTTAGGTTATTAATTCAGTAGTTGTTTGACAGAGATGCCTTCCTGCTGAAACTTGGCTGCCCTTTTTTATTGGTTAAGATGAACCACTTACTAATTTATAAAATTTTAATAGAATCAATGTTCATGGTCATGTCAATTTTTTGGAGGGAATGGACTTTTGGATTGAACTTTTCCATCATTTTTCTGTTAACAATCTTGTGTGTCTGAATAACCATTCATCAAGGAAGATATCCCAGGGATACCGCAAATACTGTGATTGAAGGAAGTGAGAACCAGTACAGGAAACACGGGAGACAGCTGAGTAGCTGAGAAGGAATGCGTAGCGTGTGTGCTATGAAGTGGGGTCCATGAACATAGCCTGGGGTAAGGCAGATCTGCTGCCAGGTTTTATAAAAGTTTATTGGCACAATGCCTTGCAAAATGTGTGTGCAGGGCTGTGAGCCAGTGAAGCTTGCTTTTGTGGAGTGGAAGGTAGGGATTCTGCCAGCGACATAGATCTGTGTGATTTGTGTGACCGAGATAGTTAGTGTTCGTGATGAATGTTGTTGTAAACAGTGACTCCACAGGACTCCCCTCTGCTGCTTTTGCTAGAAATTTTGGAGTTTTAGGCTTCTGCATAGCTGTCATGCTGCAGCTTTGCCAGAGGCAGCAGCATTGGGGACCGAGCAGTAGGGGTAAGGGAGAAGAGAGAGAGCAGCAGACAGGAAGGGAAGGGAACGCCGTGCAGAGGCCATCTTCTGGGTCCTCTGGCTGGAAAGAGGAGGCCATTTCAGCGTTTGTCTGCTGTGCAGATCTACTCAGGTGCCACGCGTTTCCGTGCAGGAGAATAAAAGGTGTGGACAGGGACCGACAGGACAAGCAGAACACGCCTTCTGGTTTCTGGCCGTTCTTCAGAGTTCCCTTTCCCTCTGCATTCTGCACAGTATTAGTTTTGAGGCAGTTGCTTGGACTGTGCTGGCAATAGGTTTGCTAAGAATCTCTGTGTCTGAGTAAGCATTCATCAAGAAGACACCCCAGGGATACCGCAAATACTGTGATTGAAAGAAGTGAGAACCAGTACATACAGTACAGAAAACACAGGAGACAGCTGAGTTTGTCAGTTGGTTTCTAGCGCAGGCTAGAGCCGAGCTTACTCCATCTTTGTTGGGTCTGAGCCTCTTTCATTAGATGTTTCTTATGCATACTCTGCTTCCCATTGCACCCTTTGTGGAGCACACACTACACACCGCCTGTGACAGCCACAGCAGTGATTTCCCCCAGCTCAAGGTTTAGACGGAATAGTGTAGCTCGGACACTATAGCTCTTGGTTGCACAGAGGTTAGTTACTAAGACAGCGGTGGCAGAAGCGGTTTATGTACCCATGCTTTCTCGTTCTCACAATCACCCAACTGACAAATGTTGTGTTATTCCCATCTTAAGATTGAGGGACAGGGTTAGGCAATCAGCACAAGGCTGCATCCATAATAAATGGTAAAGCGTGACTTGAGCCTAAAGGTTGAGGGACGTGTGTTAAAAGTCTGTTCTACATAGCAGTCAAAGTAGAGAATAGTAAAACCAACCCTTTAGATATCATTCACCTGGCATTCAACAATATTATGCTTTTCTTTCTTTAACTTTTCAACATTTAAAAACTTTTCAATGAATCTAAAAGCATATTTTAGATAGAATTTCTTATTAACACCAGAATAAAAAGACAATAAAAATATCACTATAATCATAATATAAAAAAGTAAAAACTAAGTTTCTTTGTAGCATCTGGTGTCATTTTTACCAGTTGTCTCAGAAGCGTTTCTCATAATTGGTTCGCTCGGTATCTTGGTGTATCTACATGCCCTTATTTGTTGATCTCCGGAGATGTGCCTGGATTCTAACCCTGGCTCCAGCAGCCCTTTATAACTGTAGGTTCTTTTAAAGTCGGTTTGTACTTTGAAGTAGTCTTATTTTTATTGCAGTTTTTAAGATACAGTGTGTGTTATATGGAATGATTTCTGATTCATAGAAAAAGTGCAGAGAAAGTACACTCTGCACCCATTTGTTGCCCTTAACTTCATTGATTTACATCCCTGAAGTACATTTGCCAAAATTGTGGCACCAGCATGGGTATGTTACTAGTACTTGGAAATCAATCTTTATTTTGATTGATAAGTTGCTTTGCTAATGTTCTCTCCTGATTTCTGCCCAGTATCCAGTTCAGGGTTTGCACTAGAGTTGTTTCTGCTTGATCTTTTCTGGACTGTAATGGTCTCATTCTTTCCTTGGTTTTTCTTGACCTTGAACTTTTGTGGTCCCATGCAAGCAGGTGTTTTGTGAGATGTTCAGCATTAGAGGTTTCTCTCTCAGCATTAGACAGGAGGTACCATGAGATACAGGACATTTCTTATGGCTTCTGTTTTTTAACTCATGTCTAAAAGCTTCTTGCTCCCAAGGTCAGACAAAAGCTATTACATCTCTTTACTCCTGTTATAAGCTTAGGTTTTTTTTTTCCATTTGTTGTTGGTTTGTACTTACAATATGTTTTATGACAAGGAAGCAGAAAGGTACACACATTAGTATCGCTCTGTTTCCTTTCCTTCCTCTCCCTACCAAAAGGATAGTGCCATTTCCTGTCGCACACATCAACTGAGTGTGCATATAAGTTCCAGTCATGTCACTTGCTCTGTAGGATGGTGTCTGACTGACTTCCTGGTGCTGTTCACTTGTGTTCAATCTTGGCCTTCAGCTTCTAAGTTTGTCATGTTGGTGTGCCTTGGAAAACATTTAGCACATGCACGGTTTCTTTTGTGATTCACAGATATTTTCCAATTTATCCCTGGATGAACGTTGCCTTTCTGCATCATTGGTCTGCAAGTACTGGCGTGACCTTTGTTTGGATTTCCAGTTCTGGAAGCAGCTGGATCTTAGCAGTCGTCAGCAGGTATGGAGTTGAATTCTGTTAAACCCTTGTTTGCCCTACTTAGTTGAAGAAATGCTTTATTCTCTTTTTAAATGGCTGTAATCCACAATGATATGCTTTCTTTTCTCCTTCCTACCTTCCTTCTATTTTTTTTTTTTTTTTTTTTAAACAGCCCTGGCTGTCCTGGAACTTGCTCTGTAGGCCAGGTTGGTCTCAAAATCACAGAGTGCTGGGATTAAAGGTCACTGCCTGGCTGAATGCTTTCTTTTTAAAAAAAAATTTGTAAAAACTTTAAACTCTCTCTCTTAACTCTCTCTGTCTCACACACATATCTCATACACACACACACACACACACACACACACACACACGGTGCATATATAAGTTCAAGTGACAGCTACATTCCACAGTGGAATTAGCTTCTAATGTAGACTGTTAGTGTGATTCTTTACTTCTCTCTTAGTCCTTTTTGTGTCTCCCTTTATCATCACTGTTTCAGAGCCACGAACCTTTTCATTTAGGGAGCCCTCATCCTCTCAGTGGAGAATGTTGGTACCCAGGCGTGTGCCCCTGTGGTGTGTGCTGTTCCTTAGGTTTTAAACATAAGAATCCATCCACCTCACCTCCACTTCAGTAGGAGATGCTGTTAATCCCGTTTGATGGATAAAGAAATGAAGGAAAACGGGCTAAAATAACTTAAAAAATACAAAACAAAGCAAAGAACTTTTCTTTTGTCAGCTTTTCAATTTTGCAGTTGTTCAGCTGCTCAGTCTCCTTACGTGGTGGTGTAAATCAGGAAAAGAGAAGGAATTCCGAGTGCTGATTGCAGACAGGTTATTAGAGTTCTTGGGCTCACCCTTTAAGAGGTAGTTGATATTTGGCTTTAGAAATATATGAAAACATCCAATACAGATATGATCTGATTGGAATCCTAAACTGAATGATACTTCCCACAGTGCGAAGTATTTGATAACAGAAGTTCTTTAAAAAAGGGAGCAGATTTGTGACATTTGCCGATTATTAGGGTATCACTAACCCTGCCATGCCTTTCTTCAGGCTACGCCCGTCAATCTGTACACAGAGTACAGATGTACTCAGAGTAGGATGTGCACAGAGTAGGTAGGCTTTTGGGAGTCTGTCCACGCAAGTGCTGATACTGCACTGGTGGTTTGCTTATGAACCACACTTTTAAAAACAGATTCAGCAAGTTCCAGAGCCCTTGCTCCTATGCCTTTCTGTCTTGCCTCCTCATTGATCGAGGCTGAAGCAGCCACAGAGCTAGTTGTTTACTTGCTTGGGTGCCCAGTACAGTAGGAAGGTGCAAGTGAAGGCCAGGCAATTGGGAGGTGACTGGGCTCCCCTCACTGGGCTCTTCCCTCCAGGCTCCAGTCAGCAGACACACCAGACACACCAGACACCAGACACCGAGGCGGCTCTGGTCTCAGCAGACGCTCACTCCAGAACACTCTCGCAGTCGGCCTTCTCTTTCCCGAAAGAACTTGAATAACATTGACTCTGATTTCTCTTTAAATGTGGTGATTGACTGGGGACATGCATGGCTGGCATTTTATTATTATTTTAAATTCAGGTGGCCATGTGAGTTTCTTTGTTAGATGAGTTGTTTACTTGTATTTTGTATTGACTCTTATGAGTGAAGTTTTTTCCAAAGACATTGCTACAGCGTTTGATGTTTTACTACACAGTAAAGCATTTTCTCAGCTCTGTGAGGTGGTATTCTGGTAGCAGTAAAACTTGTAGTTTACATACCATGCTATCATCTGATGTCAATTATAACCATTCAGTTCATGGGGCTGGGAATGCAGCGCAGTTACAGCCTGCTTGCCTTGTAAGTGCAAGGCCCTATGGTCAGTTCTTAGTACCCCCCCCCCCAATACATACCAAACTAAACCAGAATCCAGTTTGTGTATCAGGCTGATTTATATTAATAATTGCTTAGTTATAAAACATTTTACATCTCAGTATAGATTTGTTTGCAGTTTTTAGTGAGCTTGAAGCTTTGTTTAAAGTGAGCCCCCCATGTGATTGATTTTTTTTTTTTTTTTAAGGTCTTAATGACAAGTAACTTGCATATTCTCGTGTTCTGATAGCCCTTCTAGTACCAAATCCATGGCGCTTACTGCACGCTAACAGCCAGGTTCTGTAGAAACTGTGCCTGGCATTAGTGCAGACCCCTTAGGTTAAGGTCCTGTAGCCTAGCCTTTCCTCATATGCCACTTGCGGATCCATGGAGCAGCGAAGAAAAAGCAAAAAAGCATGGCCGCCACAGCGGTGAATAGCTTCAACTATCCAGTGAGCGCGGGGGAAGGTTCTACTTATATCTGATTTACAATTAAGGATACAATCAGAAACATCCACCTGGAGAAGTTACAGGTCAAGATAGGGATCTTCCAGCCCTTAGCACTTCAGTGTTTATTTAGTTCTGGCTGGAGTTCTTATCACCTAATCTCAAGCAAACTTTGCTTGAGGTCAGAGAGGGGTGACAGATCTACTTTGAACCCGGGACTATATCTCTAGCACTACCTGTCTAGTCTTTGTAGTAACACCCTTCACCCTGGAGCTGTCAAGGAGCCTACTCTCATTCACCTCTTTACGATACTCAGGAAGGGTCACAGGGACTGGTCACGAATAATAGCATCACCACAGTTCTTGTTACACTTTAGAATAAAGTTTTTCTTTTAATTGTGTTTTTCATACTGCTGGAATACAATTATTACTTTCTGGTACAAATAATACAAAGTAGTCTTCCATTTTCAGCAAAGTTTAATTTATTACATCTTTTTCTCTCGTAGGTCACTGATGAACTATTGGAAAAAATTGCATCTAGAAGTCAGAATATAATTGAACTCAACATTTCTGACTGTCGCAGTATGTCTGACACCGGCGTGTGTGTGTTAGCGTTTAAGTGTCCTGGACTACTTAGGTACACAGCCTACAGGTGCAAACAGCTCTCTGACACCTCCATTACTGCGGTGGCCTCTCACTGTCCTTTACTACAGAAAGTACACGTAGGCAACCAGGACAAACTTACTGATGAAGGACTCAAGCAGGTAAATACATGGCATTTATTGAGTGATCTCACACACTAATTTAAAAACGTGTGCAGCAACAGTCAGTTTGAAATGTCGCATTACAGATGATGACTGGAGACCGGAGTGAGCCATCTTCTCCATGTAGTGACTGATGCCCATTTGCTTGAGCAGGTAACACCTGCTCAACGTGTGTGGACACGTTAATGTTGCTTAAGCCTTGTGCCTGATCCTGACCAGCCAGTGTTCAGTTTGGGTCAGAATAAGTTTTCTAAAAGTTAACTTGTAATTTCCCTTTCATGCTATCAGATGGCATATTTTAAACATAATTTAAAATACCAGTGTTTAAGGCAGCCTCTCCACTATTGCTTAGATTCTTAGTTGGGGTCATCCTTGTGGATCCCTGGGCATTTCCCTAATGTCAGGTTTCTAGTTGAAGCCCACAATGGCTCCCTCTATCACGGTGTCTCTTTTCTTGCTCTCCTCCTCTGTTCGGCCTTCCTGATCCCTCATGTTGTCCTTCCCCTTCTCTGGGGAAACCCACAGAAACAGCTGACCCACAAAAGTGGGAGCCCACGGACTCCAGACTGACAGCTGGGGAACCTGCATAAGACCGAGCTAGGCGCCCTGAACGTGGGGGACTTGGGCAGTCTGTGGGGGGGGGGATAAATGAAACCATTATTTATCCCTAGTGCATGAATGGGCTTTGGGAGCCCATTCCCTGTGGAGGGATACTCTCTCAGCCTAGATACACAGAGGAGGGCCTTGGTCCTGACCCAAATGATGTGACAGATTTTGATGATCCCACATGGGAGACCTCACCCTCCCTGAGGAGTGGGTGGGGGGTGTGATAGGGAGAATGTAAAGGGAATGGGAGGACTGGAGGGAGAGGGAACTGGGATTGGTATGTAAAATAAGATTGTTTTTAATTTAAATAAAAAATTAAAACAAAATACCAGTGTTTTAAGATATAAATGGAAGTTCAAATTAAAGACCATAAAATAAGAAAAATATGGTAATTATCTATATTTGGCTTAGTAACTGGAAATAAATCAGCTCAATAGTACACTTTGTTTACTGAAGTTTCTGTCCCGTTCTCAAAGCCATTCAGTCCCAAATAAACACACAGAGGCTTATGTTAATTATAGATTGTTTGGCTGATGGCTCAGGCTTCTCATTGGCTAGCTCTCTCTTAATTATTCACCCATTTCTATTAATCTATGTATCTCCACTTGGTCTTGACTTACTAGTGATGTTCAAAATTTTAGCTTTCTTGGCAGCTACATGGCATCTCCTTCGAGATTCCCTCTCTGCCTTCCTCTTCCCGGAATTCTCCCAGTCTGGTAGCCCGCCTGTACTTCCTGCCCGGCTACTGGCCAATCACAGCACACAGAAGAACATCCCCCATCATCTCCTCTTTTCTGTCTAAATAAAAAGGAAGGTTTCGACATATCTCTCTTTGTCTTATCTATGTATCAAAACAGTTACCAGGCAAGAACTATAGTTAACAATATTTCATCCACTAACATTGGGCAGAATTTACAGAATATTCTAACATCTATCTTATCTTTGTGAGTCTAAGCTTTTATATGTAACTTATCTTTTATCATAGCTAAGGAAAACCGTAACCACAACTATCTGTCTTAACTCCATCAAAGATCCCAGAAGGTTAATATATAAACTCTAGAATTGACAGACATCTCGCTGTCTGAACAATCATCCAAATTTCCTCTGAAATGTTGGGTCACCCATCTTCAGCCCATAGGCCATAGTATTTGGCAGACATTTTAATGAAGTAGGAAGTTTGAAGACTTGTTCTGTCTTGTATTGGCAAAGTTCATCAGTTGCTTTCTTCTGTAAAGCAGGAACTCTGCAGGACCTTTGTGTCTCTTGGCAAGTCCAGCAGTCACTTTCCTTTGTAACCTGCTTGTCCAGCTTGGACAGTGTGCTTACTGTTGTTTCTGTCATTTCTCACATTTTTTGGAAGTTACTTGCTCACATTTCCTGTTTACTCAGTTAATATTATTTCCTTTTCAGGTCTCTGAGGGAGTTGAAGACTAGATAGTATAGTTACAGTTTTCCTTGTTTACCAGACTCAATAAGAAACTCACTAAAGATATGTTAAATGTAAGAGGTTTGAAAAAAATTAAAAGGTAATTTGATAATAGAAAGCAAATTAGGTACAAGACTTTGTACTCATCAAGAAAGAGTAGATATGAATTTGTCTAATGCTATTGGACATTGTTGATATACCTATTGCATGTATAAATTGCATATAGTTATTGTAGTTTTTCTTATTGGTTATGATCTTTTATTTTAATTTTAGACAAAAAAGGGTGATACTTTGCTTGTACAAATAAAGCCTGTCTGAAGGTCAGAGAATGGAGCTCGCCACTAACTAACCATAACAATTTCTTTTTCTGCTCTCCTTTTTGGATGGCATTGAATATTTCCTGACAGTGGCTTACTCATCCATGAAGGAAAGTTTCTTAAGTTGAAGTATTATATATGAATGCATTGAAAGTTGAGTATGAGGATATCTTTGGGAAGACTTGAATAGAGTCTACTGAGTGTGGCCGTTTACTGTGTTTATCAAGGATGTCACCAACTTACAAGGGAGCCTGTGCCATCACCCAGGCATGCTGTGAAGTAACACTTTTCCCTATTTCAATATTTTCTGATTTGTTTCTACTTTGTACAGGTAAAACATTTTATAGTATTCTTAAACTCAGTTAAACTACTCTTTTCTGGAGAAATGTACACGTTCATGGATGTAGCATGATTTTATTTCTTATAATGGGATTTTTTTTCAGCGTTTTGTATTTCATAGCTAAACATTTTTTTTTTTAAAGTCAATGTACTAACAGATGGGTCATCTGTACATATTTAAGTGTCATATAACAGAATAGGAACACATTGCCAGTTTACTGGGGATATTCTCAGTAATCCTTGGGAAAAACAATGAAGTCATAGTTGTCGTTGAAGTAGAGGGAAATTAGCAAGTTTTTAAGGGACAGAATATGTTGTGCCAATCAAGTATTACAAAATTTTACGACTCTGAACCGATGATGTAAATCTTCTCTTTATGGGAGTCATTTTAAGAGTTTGTTAACTTTGATACTTGTTTTAGATTTTTTTGTTTCTTTTTGAATTGTGAAGAAGATTCATACAATGCAGTACTCAAATTGAAAGAGGAAAGCTGTCTGAGTATTTCCTTCATTTTCTTGATGACACAGAATTCTCATTGTAGTTTAGGTTATCCACCATTTTCTATACTTAACTATTCTGTAGCAAGGTGTAGCAAAAGTTGGGCTGTTACGTTAGATTGCTCTGACTGACAGCGGTGTTGCTGGTATAGTAGAAAGAGAATGGATTTTATGTATACATAAAGGATTACGGTTTTGTGAGCAATGTATATTTGTTTTCTATTCTATTCCATATTACTGTGTTAAATAAATGTTGTCCTTGACCCACCTAGTGAATTAATTTTATAACCTGCTGATATTTGATAAATTGTGTTGTAGAGTATATTTTGGTTTTAACAAACCAATACTTTTTATGATAAGCTATTGATGATTAACAGTTTTCTGTGATGATTATTTTTCCTTGAACTCAGTAACTTAGCAGTTAATCAACTTTGTTGATTCACCCCCCCCCCTTGACAATAAAACTGACAAGTACTTCAGAAATGTACACAAGTATTTTATTGATAATGTCTGTCCTTCATAAGTGCTACAATTTTGAGGGGTTTTAGCAAACACAGAATGTATATGCTTTTTGAGTTACTTTTAAAAAACAGTTATTTAAAGCATTTCAATTTAAAGCTCAAACAGATCAAGATTATGATATTTAAATATTGAATTCTTCTTGATAATGCTTTTCAGACTATAGTGATGTACTTAAAAGTTAAACTGTTTAAGAAAAGGTTTTTTTTCTTTGATTCAGTGTGTGTGTGTATGTGTGTGTGTGAGTGTGTGTGTAAGTGTGAGTGTGTGTGAGTTGTGTGTGTGAGTATGTGTGTGTGAGTATGTGTATGTGTGAGTGTGTGTGTGTGTATGTGTGTGTGTGAGTGTGTGTGTGTGTGTGGGTGCCACAGTGTACATGTGGAGTCTACAGGACACCTTGGGGTAGTTAGTTCTCTCCTTCTACCAGGATTCAAACTCAGGTAGTCAGGTTTAGTGGCTGGTGCTCGTATCCACTGGGCCTTCTTGCTGCCCTTAAATTAATTTGTGCATGTGTGCACTTGCCTTGGTACACAGGTGGAGGTAGGAGGACTTGTGGGAGTCACCTCCCTCCTGCTTTCTCTCATGTGTGTCCCAGAGATTGACCTTGGGCCACCAGGCTTGGCTGCAAGCGCCTTTACCTGCCTAGTTATCTTGCCAACACAAGTTGGGCTATTTTACCCAAACATTATCTTAAAATACCATCTTTTGAATATTGATATTAGTATCTCCATAGAAGTCATGCCATATAATCTTATCAATCGAAAAATTTTACCAATATGTTGTATCTGTCTTATACATGATTATAAGACTATAATCATGAATCTGGGGGAAAGGCATTTGTCTTCAAGTAAGTGATTGTTAATAGTAAACTCATTAAAATAAGTTTTAAGAAATTATATCTGTTGTTTCTATTTTATGGAGAGTTACAACACTCAGTTTTTAGTCATGGAACTCAGATATTTCTGAAAATAAGCCACTAATTTTTTTCCAAATTAAAATAGTACTTCAAATTAAATCATCAGTAAGTTTCTACCTGGCTGTGCTATGAGTTTTTTAGTTTTCAAAAAATTAGATTCAGCCTAGTGATAGAATATTTGCTTAGACTACACAAGGCCCTGATTTCAGCATCCAGCACTTCACAAACAAACAAACAAACAAACAAACAAACAAACCAGAGACAGTAAGCCCCATTGTGTGTGCAAAATATCTGAACAGGGCTCTAAAGCTCTGGAAATGTTTAAAAGCAGCCAGAGATGCCAGATCATCTGGGTCCCCACTGCAAACAAAGAACCAAAG